TTACACCACTTCTCCCTTCAGCGCGTTTGGCCTGAGGCCTTGAAAAGCCCTCTGTGGTCTGGGGACCGCAGAAACAGATTTAAATCCAAGAGAGCCACTTCTAGTTTATCGGATGGCCCAAAAGAGGAAGTGGCCGGAGGTGCCCGTCCGACGTCCGGGCACCTCAGTCCTGGCCACTCTCCGGGTCTCCTTGAATCTGGAGTCTGCTGGAGTTGGCATTAGCTATGCAGAGCCCTTCACCAAAGTATCTTCTCTGTGCGTTTGGAGGAGGTGGGTAGGCGATTGAACACAGGAGAGCGTAAAAATACAGACTAAAAAAATATACATATTGTCATGGGCCTTCCCTCCACCCCACCTTGGAGCCTGTGGAGGCCTGCCTGGAACAGGACTTCTGTAAGGACAAATACTTCTGGGAGGCTGTGGTCCGCAGCCATTTTTGCAGGCTATAAGCAGGGTCTCCAGAACCAGATGGAGCTCCTCTTAAAATTGAAGGTGTTTATGCTGGAGATTAAACTGACTTCTCTCTAGGGGAGAGATGTGCTTATGTGTACAAAGCAAAGACCAACACAGTAACTCCAGGTGGCAAACTGAACAAAACCAGAGTCACCAGAGGGAGGGTAACTCCTGCTCCTGGAAACAGTGGCATGGTTCCTGCTAAACCCCAAAGCAACCTTCCTGCTAAGGCCACTGGACCCAGAAGCTATGTAATGCTGTATACCTCAAGGATTTAAACTTATTGAAAAGTAACTAAGCAGCCCTGACTGGTATGGCCCAGTTGGTTGGAGTCTTCTGGGGAAACGAAGGACTCCTGGTTGGGACACATGCCTGGGTTGCAGTTCTGTCTCTGGGCAAGACGAAGAGGGGAGCCAGCTGATAAATGTTTCTCATGTTGATGTTCCTCTTCCTCTCTTTCTCCCTCCCTCCCCTCTCTCTAAAATAAGTAAATAATATCTTCTTTAAAAAGTAAAAAATATGTACATATTGTCATGGGCAAAAACCATAATTTAGGTTAAGAAAGAAAAAAACAATGGAACAGGTGGATTAAAAACTATATGCTAAGTAGAAGATCAAAGATTGACAAAGAGGGTTAGAATAATTGGTTATACTTTCCTTGGCCCCCAGAGACACATGGAGAAAGTCATTGATTAAATTTTTTAAATGGTTTCAATAGTGAATTATCAGACCACCCCTTTCTGAATTTCTTGGTGTTCTATTCTAAGCCAACAGCAATTTTCTGAATTAAATTTCTCCAGAGGTGGAAAGAAGACAGGAGAGCCTGGCAGAAAGCACCACCAAATCCATCACCCCACAGTTTAACAAGTTGTGACCAGTATACTGTTTCCAGACACCAAAGAAATGGTTCCTCACCAGGAGTTTAATTCTAGACTTGCTATAAGCATCAGAAACACTGGTGAGTTACCTTCTGAGGCTGTGGCAAAGAAGTCAGCCTCCCACTGGACCCCGGCTGAGGGAATCTGCCCTGATACCCAGGCCTGCTGTTTGTGTGGTCAACAAATGTGAAGTAAATATTTCATGTCTCAGAGGAGCCAGAAACATTTCTTTGGAATGGCTCTGAAAACTGGGACTGAGCTATATGTTACCTCTCTATTACTCACAAAGAAAACTAAATCAGTAACTCCGAAACTCCAGGAAGATTCTCAGAAAAGCTTGTGTGCCCAGCATTTGGAGGAATGGACTTATTCTCCTTTCTAAGCTTAGTGGGGTCATCTGGAAAGCTCTAGCTTACCCTGCACAGGAAAGATTGTACCTGCTTGATCACCACCCCAATATTTACAAAATAAGCAGTCTGAAATCCTTGTTTCCACACGGGGAATATTACCAGGAACAGCATCCAGTCAATAGTATTATTTCCCTTTTTCTTAGATATATACGCTTGTATGTACTTTTATGGTGATAATTGACACTTTTTTTTAAGTTTCCTGCAGCTACTCAAAATCTAACTAGCTGATATTAAGCATCCCTCTTAAATTTCTTGGCTGTTATAAAGAATTGTGCAGCATCCTGTAATACACTTGATCAACCAAGTAGTTTCAAGGAACTCCTCTTTGGGCTTTCATTGTTTCATTTCCCCATAGTACACCCAATGGGCGCCAGACATTGTGCTGGGCACTGGACGGGGGGGGGGGGAGGAGGAAAGGGACAATATGACAAAAAGCCACCCCAACTCAGGTAGCAGTTGGCAATCTGTTTAGTCTCACTCACATAGACACACACACATTCACTTTAACTAAGCCTAAAATAATCCTTCCCTTTCCTTAGTATAGTAACATTATCCAAGAAGTCCAGTCAGAATAAAATGTTTCTGAGAAATCACTGCAATTCAGTTAACTACGGGCAAATAATAGTTAATTATAACAGCATGAATAGACAAGAAAGATTAGGGAGAGTTGCAAACCAAAGCAAGTGCTGCACATGTATGAGCCCAACATATGCAATGCTCATCCAGATCTTTTCTTTGACTTCTCCTTTGGAGCCCAACACTGACACCTTTTAATGAGGGAAATGGGGGACTTGAGCTCACCTGATTCCAGCCCTCTTCATGTAGCCTCCAGGGGCTCAGCCAGAAGCTTCACATGAAGGAGGGTTACCAGGATCAAGTCCCTAATTAGTTACACAAAGAGAAAACCATGAACAATTTGTGCACTTGGTAGTATTTACTTCTTTCTTTTAACAAACTGCCTTTTGGGAAGAGAGTTGTCATAAGGGCAAATCAATCATTTCCGAGGGATTAAAATATGGGCGTGTGTAGAGACAACAGTTTAGCTTAAAGGTTGTCCACTACTTTAACCCATTGTGGGTTTCATGTGAGAGCCACACACTCAGCGTGTAGCAACAACAACAAAAAAGGGGGAAAAAAAACAGAAACAATAAGGAAATAAGAATTCAACTTCCCAACAACACACTATAATCCACTAGGTAAAAAATACACATTATGCTTGTGTGTGAGAGTAGATATATGTAGACAAAGTTTAAGTAATTTTGTTTCCTGAGTTTTTTTATGTCAGTGTATTTTTCCCAAAGATCTTTTCCGCTCTGGGGGCCTTAAATTCCTAAATGTTCACTGTACAAGTAGATGCTAATCCCTTTAGACAGATTCCCATTTCCAGGGCTTTTCCAGGCATTGTTTGGACAACATAAGAATGTCTCGTGATAAAACCAGCAAGATTAACCAATCCCAGGACACAACCACTTTCAAGGAAGTCAGGTCGACTGTACCCACCTGGATCATGGTGTTGCCCTGGTGGTGGCAGGAATCTGGGCAAAGAGATGGGCCTGCTCATGCCTTAGCTGATGGGAAGTTTTCCCCAAGGATGGGCCTGCCCAAGCTTTTGCCTAGGGGACTCAGCCACCAGGAGTAGCCCTGGTCTCTCCTAGGGTCTGGGAGCATTTTCAGCAGAGACGCCACTGGTGGGCTCCGACTGGGTGTCCCAGCAAAGGATCGTACAATTTGAGTTCGGAGCAGCACAGGCCACAAACACTTTGTTCCATATCCGGTCCCAGATACCCAGACTCTGAGAGGCCCCATTGTGCGCACCGTTCGCCTGGGGCTGAGGCTTGGCGCTGACCCGGTCGTAACTGCCAAGGGCCTGACAATAGACACATCTGTCCTTTCTCTGAGGGATGAAAGCACCTAAGCAGACACGGGTCTGCCTTTTGTTACAGATTTTTTTCCCCTTTCTTTTGTAAATGAAATAAAAGTCGTGGCATGTGGCGGCCGGAGTACGTCCCACACTGGGGGCCTCCCTGCACGTCCCCACCAGACCCAAGGACCAGGTTCGATTCCGGATTGAAGCGTGATTGTGAGAAGCGGACAATTACGCCAGAAGCTGAATTGATTTTCAAATCTGGAGGCTTCTCGCGGGGACGCCGGGAAGAGGGCGTCCCTACGGGCCAAACGGAGACGGGCGCGCCTGGGCCACCAGGCCGGTGGCCGTCCTTCCCGCGAGCAGTGGCTTCTGGGTGCTTCGCCAGGAGGCCACGGCGAAACTGCGGGAACGGCCGGAGCCTCGGTGTCCCCACTAGCGCCCAGAAGTTAACATGGGAGCCCACCGGGGCACTCCCCGCCCCCAACACACACACACACACACACACACACACGGTCATTAGCGAAGCAGGCGCACCGCCTTAATTGTCATCTGAGCCAGAGAAGGACCCAGGCAGCGGGAGACAGCGAGGTACGGCCCCGACTCTTGGCGCTGATCGCTCCTCTCCCCAGACCATGGAAGAGGGGGGAGAGGTGGGCAGAGGATTGTCGGGAGGTCACAGATTTCTGGGTCAAGAGCCACCAAGCTGACCGAGGCCTTTAAGATATTTGTTCCGAGAGGACGGGGAGAATGCGGACTCCCCGAAGCGCTCCAGGAAATGAAGCTTAGAAGGCTAGGGTGGAAGGAGTGGTGACACAGTATCAGCATCCCGGCAACCTGCGCCGGGAGGCGGCAGCTGGAGAGACGGCCGAGGGCTTCCCAGGCGCAGCGCACCACCCGGCGCGAAAGCCCAGCAAAAGCAGCCCAGGACTGGGAGCAGAGCCCATCCGGACCGGGGAGCGGAGACAGGCCCCAGTCTCCCGGGGCTGCGGCGGCTGCCCCAGGTCTCTCTGTGTGCTGGGCCTCCCCACGTGCGCGCCGCAAACCCCGCTGCCCCGCGCTGCTACGAAGGTGCGGGACCCCCCCCCCCCCCCACGCGGGTACGCCGGCATCTCGGGCCGCGCTCCGGGGCTGGGGGGCGGGGCCGAGCCGCGCGCCTGCGCGCAGCGCCCAGCGGGCGGGAGGGCGGGCCGCGGCGGCTGTGGCGGCGGCGGCGGCGGCGGCGGCGGCACCGCGGCCGCAGAGTCTGCAACAGTAACCGAGCCATGGCTCGAGCTGGCCAGCGGCGCGGGCAGGCAGCAGCCGCGGCAGGCGCGCCGGCTGCGTCAGGGGAGCCGGGAACCTCACAATTCTAAGAAGGAGAGCAGCGAGAGGGGGCGAGGGGCGAGGGGGCTGGGGACACGGCGCTCACCCAACTGCGCTGATCCTTTTTGGAAATTAATATTAAAAAAAAAAAAAGGAGCCGAGAACGCAGAGGGGAAGGTGGGGGCAAGAGGGAAGGCAAGACACTCAGAGAGGGAGACAGAGCCCCACAGTGAGAGGAAGGAAAGAAGGCAACAGTCGCCGGCAGCTGATGTGAAGACGGGACTCCGCGCGCCCTTTGCCGCCTCTGTCCGGCCTCATCGATGTTGTGTCCGCCGCCCGCTCGCCCGGATCACGATGAATGCGCAGCTGACCATGGAGGCGATCGGCGAGCTGCACGGGGTGAGCCATGAGCCGGTGCCCGCTCCTGCCGACCTGCTGGGCGGCAGCCCCCACGCGCGAAGCTCCGTGGCGCACCGCGGCAGCCACCTGCCCCCCGCGCACCCGCGCTCCATGGGCATGGCGTCCCTCCTGGACGGCGGCGGCGGCAGTGGCGATTACCACCACCACCACCGGGCCCCCGAACACAGCCTAGCCGGCCCCCTGCACCCTACGATGACCATGGCCTGCGAGACTCCCCCAGGTATGAGCATGCCCACAACCTACACCACTTTAACCCCTCTGCAGCCGCTGCCGCCCATCTCCACCGTGTCGGACAAGTTCCCCCACCATCACCATCACCACCATCACCACCACCACCCGCACCACCACCAGCGCCTGGCGGGCAATGTGAGCGGTAGCTTCACGCTCATGCGGGACGAGCGCGGGCTGGCCTCCATGAATAACCTCTATACCCCATACCACAAGGACGTGGCTGGCATGGGCCAGAGCCTCTCGCCCCTCTCCGGTTCCGGTCTGGGCGGTATCCACAACTCCCAGCAAGGGCTCCCCCACTATGCTCACCCGGGCGCAGCCATGCCCACTGACAAGATGCTCACCCCCAACGGCTTCGAAGCCCACCACCCAGCCATGCTCGGCCGTCACGGGGAGCAGCACCTCACGCCCACTTCGGCCGGCATGGTACCCATCAACGGCCTTCCTCCGCACCACCCCCATGCCCACCTGAACGCCCAGAGCCACGGGCAGCTCCTGGGCACAGCCCGGGAGCCCAACCCTTCCGTGACGGGTACGCAGGTCAGCAATGGAAGTAATTCAGGGCAGATGGAAGAGATCAATACCAAAGAGGTGGCGCAGCGTATCACCACCGAGCTCAAGCGCTACAGCATCCCACAGGCCATCTTCGCGCAGAGGGTGCTCTGCCGCTCCCAAGGGACCCTCTCGGACCTGCTGCGCAACCCCAAACCTTGGAGCAAACTCAAGTCCGGCCGGGAGACCTTCCGGAGAATGTGGAAGTGGCTGCAGGAGCCGGAATTCCAGCGCATGTCTGCGCTCCGCTTAGCAGGTGAGCGGTTCAAGGAGTTGGGCGCGAATGTGTGGGGAAGACTAGGGACCGAAAAAGAGAGGGAAGGAGAGAGGGCTGGAACCGCTTCACCCTGTCCTCCTTTTCCTGAAAGGGGGTCTTGTGCCTGGAAGAGCCAGCACGCTGCTCCTGGCAGCAAACAGCCTCCTCCAGGACTTAGTGTGTCGGGCTGCGCAATGCTCCGGGAGCTGAGTGGTGCGGTACCTGCTACTGCGGGGGCGCGCATATGCTGAAAGACAGCGCGCGAAGCTCGCACTGCCGGAGACGGAGAAAAGTCCCCCCCGCACCTGGCCAGACACCGTCTGTGCGTCGCTTCTCCGTTGGGCATTCAGGTTTGGGGAGAGGGAGGCAAAGTGTCCGTGGAACTACGCGCCTTGCACATGCCCGGTCTCTAGGCTGGAGCTGTCTGCCAATGTTGGGCACAATTCGCTGCGGTGACCCCCTCCCGCCTAACTATGGGCTCGGGGTGGGACGGGGATGGGGAGCGCAGTCAGAGTTCGCGCAAAAGGTTCTGAAGCCTAGGAGCTGTGGGCGTGGGGCGGGGACGCCGTGTAAGGGTTAGCGCGCACTCTGCGCTCGCAACCGGCTGTGGAAAGGAAAGGGAGACTGAAGGTGCCACAAGGGAACTTCCAGCGGAGCGCAGGGGTAGTCTTCACTGCCCACTGGCTTAGGACTTTGCAATTTCATTTTATTCCTTTGCATGGTTTTTTTCCCCCCATTTGAATTCCAATCCAGGGGAGAGTGGGAGTGTGGAAATAGCCCCCAAGAGTTCGAGCAGAGGTCTCCCGGGACCGAAACCCCGAAGCCCAGGCGTTTCGAAGTTTAGCGGGAAGGTCTAGGCGGCGCTGCACAGAAACAGCATCTAGCTCCCCCCGCCTCTCTAGGCCAAGGTGTGGACAAGGCTCTGGCGGGCCGAATAGCCGAGGGAACAGCTGAGCCCAGCCTGAATGGCACAGAGGGATTTCGTTTGGATTCCGTGACCTCCTCTCAGAAGCCACGAGAGGAGACAGAGCCAGGGGTAGCGGAGGGCGGACTCGGTTTTGATGAGACTGGGGCTGAGCTGATTGACTCAGGGCGTCCATTCCCTCCCTCCCTCTACCCCCTCAGCCCGGCGCCCAAGCCTGAGTCCTGGCGAAGAGAAAGGTAAAAGCCGGTATGCCGGTTTGTTAATTAACTGATCGTTCTCCATTAATTCGTCCCTGGAGAACGAGAGACAGTCAATCCTCTCAGAGCCGGGGGCTCTGAGCAGTTTCCCTGACTAAAATCAAAGCCGAGAGGCCAGAGCCCCCTCCCCCACCTCGTGCCGGCCAATGAGAAGCTAGAGGGAAGCAGGTGCTGGCGTGCCCGCGAGCCTGCACCTCCAGCCCGGACGCGTTCGGGTCTGGGCGCTCCTGGCCTGCTCGCCCCGGCGCCGCGCAGGCTGAGCCTCAGCCCCGCGCTCACTCGCTCCAAGCTAAGACACCACGCAGGGAAGCCAGGGGTGGGGGCACCGGAAAGGAGAGGTTTGACCTGGTGTCCTCTGGGCTTCCGAGATTCCACTCTCTAGCCTTGTCACCGTGTCTCAGCCCTCCCTCCCCTGCGGGCTGACCGAGACCTGAGGGCAGCTGAAACTCCTTAGGGATGGGAGAAACCGCCACTCGTCTCCCAGACTGCTCCGCTTCTGCCGGTGCCCAAGGTGGTCAGCGCCTTTTCACACTCCTACGCCAGACTGGAGCCCGGCCTCAGGACCTTTTACGAAGGCAGCGCCTGCACAGGCCCGCGGGGATTGGAGGGGGGGCCCCAGGGAAGCCTGTTCCCCACCTGCCATCCTTTGAAGACGTTTGCTCCGGACTTAAGTGACCCTTCCTTCTTCTCTCACTACCTCCTCTTCCCCCCGGAAGGACAGACTGACAGGTTCTGTTCAGAGACTACCCCTGGACCCTGGAAACACAGCCTAGGGCCCTGGCCTGCGGGAGAGCCCTCTGACCCCCACGCATGGGTGCTGCAGTGCTGTTGAGCGGGAGCCCGAGTACTGCGACCCGCACAAGAAAGGCACCAGCGGCTTGCTAGAGAAGGCTCACGGGACCCAGGAGACTATCGAATGAGTGCCTGCCTGGTTGGTGCCCAGCAGCCTGTGTGTGTCATCGCGACCCAAGACATGTGGCCTTTTCCAGAGGTGGGGGAACTCAGAGAAGCTTGTAGGACACATGTTTGGCCCCTAATCCCAAACGGACTCCGAATCCCAAAACCCGGATGTAGCGTCATCTCTTTCATTTTCCTTTCTTTAGGTTAATTAAAGGGATGGTGAGGGCTGGAATGTGGGCACTGGCTGAGCAAATGGAGAGCAATACCATGAAGCTGCAAAAGCCACGACCTAATTTAAGCCACCAAAGAACAACGAGCCATTCTGTTAACATTGTCATTTAGAAAAATAAATAAGAGGGAAGTCATTTCATGAACACTCTCAATGATCTCTATTGGGCTTTTCTGGAGACTTAAAATAGATTGAGGGGCATGTTGGCTGCAGCTGTGAAACATTGCCGACCGCCCCCCACCACCACCTCCCATGCACCGAGATGTTCCTTACAGATGTTTCTTATAGCTTTGCTAGGTGTTGCAATCAAAGACCTGTCAACCTAGCGCCTACCCCATGCGAGGCTGGGGCCCACCATCATCGATTCCATTGGTGGTGGGAGAGTGGCTTCTTTATGCTCCTCCCTGTACCCCAGGTTTCTCGCAGCTTACTGTGGAGAGTCAAGCCTTCCACACGTGGCAGCGTGTTTGGGGAGGCGCCTTCTTACGAAATTATATCTGCCGGTGGAAGACAGGAGACAGGAGGAAACTCTCACCAAATTAACTACCTTTAAAAATCAATATGTTCCCTCAGTGCAATACTTGGTGCTGCCCCATCTTGTCCCAGGTGGCGTGGGCGGGCTGGGCTATGAGGGTGGGTGGGTGCCCCCCCTGTGTCATGGGCGCCTATTAAGACTCGAGGAGATTAGTTTCCAATTAAAGATTCCGGAAGATGTCCAACACACTAGGGAAGCTGCCAGCTCAGGAAGAGGCTGCAACCCTCTCCCACCAGCTGGCGAAGCACCAAGCACCAGGGACCTAGGAAGAGGTGAGGCCCAAGAGCCCTGGGTTCAGGTAGGGTTGTGTGCTGGGGCACTCGGTCTCTTTGATACCTGGAGGCAAGGAAACCTCCAAAGGGTGACAAGGAGCCAACCAGATCTCCTGCACCCAGACTGTGCTGTTTTACTGACCAGAATTTGCTCCAGAACAACTTAGAAAAAGGTGGGGGTGGGAGTGGGGAGGATATCAGGCCAGGAGGTGGCCATGAGAAAGTCTCACCCTGGCCAACCTGGACTGTGTTTGCCATAAGTGGCCTTGTGGCTGGGTTGATTGATAACAGGCCCCCGAGCAAGTTCATTTGCTTTTTGTTAATATTTATCCCGGCCAGCGACATTCCAACTGTCTCCTTGCTTTCTTGGGCCACGGGAGCCAAGCAGGAGTGCGATGCTGGCTCTGGGAACCCCACTCACTACTTTAATCCTCGAAGACTCCTGTGCTGGGCCGGGAGAACAGCCAGGACTAGGTGTGTGGGACGCCGGAACTGGAAGAGTGCCTGGGCCCTAGAGAGGAGGAGAAGGCGCCAAGCGGGTCTTGCACAGTACAGCTGCTCCCAGCCGGTTGCTCAAACAAAGGGCAGGCGGGGCGCTGCCGACTGCTCGGGCAAGGGCTTCCTCCAAAGGCCTGGGATGGCCTCTTTCCAGCGGGCTTGAGGAACAGGCCAGTTGTCAGGCGAAGACCTAGGGCTCCCAGATTCTCTGCACACCCTGCCCCCGGCCAAACGGTGGCCATGTACCTCGGGAGTTGGCTGGGGATCCCACACACACCAGCTCAGCAGGAAACCAAAAGGCCTCACTCCTGGGGACAATTACCAGAAAGTTCTGTGTGAGCCTTTCTTGCAGTCCATGTCTGACTCATCAAGGGTATGACACAAAGGTTTCTTCTTGCCATCCCCACTAGGGAGCACAAACCTTCTTGAGGAGAGAAAGGAGCGCGTGAGGGTAGGAGGAGGTGTGCACGTGGTTAGACTAGGGTGGAGAAGACCTGCATCTGGGGCTTGAGGAGGCTTGTCAGCTATTGTGTGGTGACTCTGGTGTAAGCGTATGGAGGAGGACAGCTGCTGGAGATCAATAAACATCGGCCTGTGCAAAGGGCCACAGGCTGTCCTGCCGGCAGACCCGAACCCCTTGGAAGTGCCCAGAGGAAGTTGGCCTGAAGGAGACCCTCCTGGCCCAGGGCTGCCTGTGGTCACTGGAGACTCAGCCCTGCCCTTGCAGTTTTGCAACTTACAATTGGGATGGACTGTACCATCCAATAGCAAGTTGTGTTGTAGCAGCAGAGCGACTAAAAGCCCAAGGCTCCGCTTTCTTATCTTCAAGCTTCGAGCTGCTAGCGTGCCGCGGGGAGCCAGACTCCTGCCTGCATTCCGGCTCACCCTCTCCCTGCGAGCCAGTCAGTGCAGCGATAGCTGGATAGCTGCGTGCGCGCCCCCTGCGGGCCTGTGGGCCTGGAGCCCAGCAAGCCTCTGTGGTTTTCAACCTGCTGCGGAACTGTCCCAGGGATTTCAAAACGATGACTATTTTGATAGGAAAAGACTGGAGGAGGAAGAAAGGGATACCTAGTGGATCTATCTTGGTCCCCAACAATGCCTTACTATTATCCCAGTGATGAGACAAAATTGCCATCCCCTCAAAGTACACCCCAATCCTAACCTATCTGAACAAGATGCGTGTTTGGATTTTCTATCTGAATTATACTTTTGCTGGCATGTTTTTATTTGAGAAAAGCAGGATCACAGTAGAAAAGGTGACTCTGACTGTCAAAAGCAGGAGGTTGGTGCTGAGGACTGTAGGACTGGGAGGGTGGATTAGTGGTTCCTTTGTTTTGTTGTTTCCCCTTCCAGCTATTCACTGGAGTTAGGAGGCTGCTTTGAG